GTTCGATTCTGGTGCTGTCACGCCAACCCCAACTGCATATCTACACTGCAAACAACCACCTCCCTTCATACCACAACCCCCAAGCCAGCCATAACGATATCAACACTTGCCCCCACTACTACGCTGGCTACAAGCCGTACAAAGCCCGCAGTCAGCATTATTACTAGATCACCTGTCAGCCAACTCCCTCAGGGACAAGCTTCCACAGTTTCTACCTTATCTCCTTTAGTATCTACAACCCCTGGAGGTTCCTCAATATTTTCCACCAGCACTCAATATTCAACTACAGGGGGAATAGTCAGAACCGAAGAAACTTCATCTTCCACTGCAAGCAGAACAACTGAATGTTTCTGCCATGTATTTGACCAGTTGTTTTCTCCTGGTAAGTTTATTATTTGACTGCTATAAAGAGAAATGTTAGCCCTTTATAATTTTATTAAGCTAACTTAACAAAATAGTTTTTAAAAGTTTGCCGTTTTTGTGTATAAGATCCATGTATGGGTGCTAAATATTGACATCTCTTGGATGTTGATTTTTTGAAGAAATTTCTATCATCTGTGTAATTTCGATGTTAATTTTGTTTTCTAGGGCAAGTTGTATACAACAGAACAGATAGTTCTGGTTGTTATTTTTATGCGCTTTGCAATGACAAATGTGAAATTGACCGATACCAGGGGCCATGTCCCACAATTTCTTCCATTTCATCAACCACATCACCTACAACCTCAGGTTTATCAAGTCCAGAATCTGTTTCTTCTACAATCTCACCATCTCCAGAAACATCTACACCACCACCAGAAGGCTGTCCTAGTTTGGATCCTCCAAGGAAGGTAATTTCTTTTTTCCTCATTATCATAATTGCCAAGGTTCACCCAAATTTTCCCTAAATTTTCCCATACACCATTCTTATCAGCTTTACTGGGAGTGATTCATGTACATTTCAGGACCAAACTTTTACATTTGTCTGTAACTGTGTAGAACATAAATGCTATGAATACATGCTGTCAAGTTATAAATAACTGCAATAAAATTTATGGTGTTCCCAGCAATGAAAAATAAAATTTTGAGGTTTTTTAAAAGAATATTGGAACATCTTCATCCATTAAAACCTATTAGATTAATATTCTCTGCATATACTAAAATGAGATATCTTTATGTAACGTTTATAACTACTCCCATAAAGTAACTAAAGCTGAGTGAATAACCAACATCTTTGATGAGTTTAGCCCTTTCCTATGTTCAAATTTTCCACAAATTGATAGCGAGGCAGTTTTTATAAATTCTAAGATTTTCAATTATGCAATTACTATTTATGTGGATATATGTTCAGTCTAAGGTTTACAAAGTGCTCACAGCGAAAATTCACGTGTGTTTTTAATGTGTTATATGACTGAGCATTTAAGTCACTGGATAACCTCATCTTCATTAACTGCTGTCATTTTCTCCTGAAAAAAATGTGTTTGTTTTTGTTCATGAAAAGTAAATAGTTAAGGCTTTGAACAAAGATGAAACAAAATTCAAATTTGGAAATCAACAGAATGCTCAAGACTAACTTACTTTATCTTCGGCATTCACCTGATTCTAACCTCAAACATGTAACAGCAGTCACACATTCCGTTTCTCCATTAGGTACATGATTAAATTTCTGTTAATTCTTTTCTTGTCAACTACAAATATACAGTCTTACCTGAAGCAACCATAATCCCAAAGATTGAATGTAATATTATTCTAAAACAAACAACTGAATTTTTTACTCAGACCACTATAAAATAGATTTTCTTTTCTCTTTCAGATAAACGAAACCTGGATGTCTGATAAGTGCACTAAGGCAACATGTGTGGGAAACAACACAGTTGTTCTGGAGCTTCCTCCACCTGCAGAGGTTATCACCTGTGTAAATGGACTCGAACCAGTAAAAATCTATGAGCCAGATGGCTGTACCTATCATTATGAGTGTGAATGTAAGGAAGATAAAAACCAATTAAAGCATAAATGCTGCATGATTTTTAAGAGTCAAAAATGAAGAAAAACTTTTTTTTCAGGCTGCCTGGATTAATATAATATTTAAATATAGTGGGTTTCACTCACCAATTATAGTTCTCCAATTTATAATATATTTAGGATGTGTCAGTGCCTTAGACAGTACTTTTTCTCCTAAGAGAGAAGGCAGCTAATATACTTGAATTATAAGAGTATATAATTACTATATAAATGTATATAACTAGTAGCTAAGCATTCATTACATATGCATTAGAATAGGATATAGCTTTTAAAATATTTTAATGATCAGAAGGCGCATCTACTTGTACCTGGGACTGCACATTTGGTGCTGAACAGTCATTTGATACTTGCTTTAGCAAGTACTAAGTGACTCTGCAGTATTGGCAGGTGCTGCACAGTCCCAGCAGTGCACAGTTAGTACTAGATGCTACGGTGACATAGAAACAAGCTTCAGCAACATAGCTGGTTGTTACAGTGATGTAGTATCAGCATCATGGTTTGTGCCTGCCTATGCTACTTCACCATAGCTCATTGCTACAGTAACGTAGCATCTTGTGTAGGTGCGCTCAGATCATAGTATGGTGTAAAGCTAGTACAAGAGCTGACTGATATATGGATAGATAGGCATATTTGGACATTGAATTCTAATCCTAAAATCATTATTGTTACTGAAGTTATACACAAGAGAAAGATTATGATTTATTTACTTACAACTTGAGTTCCAATATCAGAAAAAAAAAATGTTATTTTGAACACAGATTGCGATTGCTATGCCATTAGCATGCAATTAGCATGAAATTATAATTTCATTGAGAAATTATATTTATCTTTGAGTTATAACTATATTGTTTTCTTCCTGAAAGGTGTTTGTAATGGCTGGAGCAATTCTGGCTACAAGACTTTTGATGGGGTTGAATACACATTCAGTGGACTCTGCAGATATGTGCTGGTGAAAGAGATTGTGCCAAAATACAATTTCAGTGTTCTTACTGACAATTACAACTGTGATGTGGTTGGTGAACTCTCTTGCCCTAAATCTATCATTGTGAATTACAACTCCATGGAAATAGTGCTAAGCAGTCAGACACATGAGGGAAACGTAACTAACAAGGTACAATTTTGTATTTTTCTGCAAAAAAAGTGTTATTTCAGTAACAAGGCTAACGTATTTAAATATCATTATACAGAACAGCTAAAGATTGTAAACATATAGCATTTCATCTGGGAATCATCTATAATTCTGCAAGAATCTCCCTATTTTGTACATATTTTGAAAAGGGCTGGTCAGCTATATAGTAGGGGCTTGCTTCTTCCTTTCTCAACTTGACTCTTGTCATCATAAGTTAAAAACTATTTCACTTTATATGACCCAAATAGCACATACACAACCATCTAACTGCAGTTTGGGATTCTATTTCTCCTGCAGCAAAAATGAATCACTCTTCTTCTGTACCTGTTAGAATTAAAGTGATGGGAAGGTGGAGGGGGATTTCCCTCACGTAACAGTTAAGGACCCCTCACCCAGGAAAGAGCAGACCCAGGTTCTAGGGCCCCCTCACTCAAAAAGAGCTTGAACTTACACCTACTGCTTCCCAGGTATGTGCTCTAACCCCTGTCTACAGGCTAGTGCCTGCACCCTCTCCAGGCCTCCTTCTGAAGTTGGCCCACTGTACCTTGCATTTAACATTCATTGCATAAAATGGATAAACAGCACTAGGAAAGTTTGTGCCCTATTGAGAGCAGGTGCCCAGGCTAAAACTCAGCATCCACTCTTGGGGAATCATCTCCCTCACTAAGCCATATGCCCTGTAGCTTGATCACCTTCTCCTGGCCACACATATCTCCTTTTGGCTGTTCAGTAGACCAACCTCAAGAGTAGGGCTGGGGAAAGCTCTGGGTAATGCCTACCCTGTTGCCTGGTAATTAAACTGCTTTGTTAGGAAGGAGAAAATCTAAGTGAGTGAGACTTAAAACATGGGTCTCCTGCTCCCTGGAAGAGTACCCTATATAGACTAAAAGGGAAAAAGATCCTCTCCCTTCTTCATCATCTGACACCTTGGCTTTCTGCAACTAAAATTTTGGGATTTACTCAGCCTTAGTTACATATGTACCCAGGCAATCCTGTTTTGCTGGGCAACTGTCTCAACTCAAGTACACCCCTACTGATTAAACTCAGTGAGGGAACTTGGGCCTGCACACTCAGAGGTGAATTGAAAGCTATGCATAAGCTGTAACCTGGTTACATGACTATATATGTACCACTTTGACACAACAAAGGAAATAAGATTTAGCCCTAAAAATAATAACATCCTTCCTAACTATATGAGCTCAAAATAAACCTGTTTCAACTGCTTTTATTCTATTGATTTTTAGATATTTTTCAACAAAGAGCCAATTAATGAAAGCATTAGCAAGGATGGTGTTTTCGTTACCAGGGTTGGTAAGGATTTGACTGTTGAAATTCCTGCCATCAATGCTTATATCTCCTTGAACGGATTCATCTTCACAGTGAAAGTGCCATTCAGCCTGTTTGCACATAACACTGAGGGCCAGTGTGGTAAGTAGAATTGTTTGACTCCCATTTTCCATTAAAACTGTTTCCAAGCGAAAGCTATCCTTATTTATACCAATGGCAAGGTTGACTTTAGCTGATCCTTTAAGTTCTAGAAGCTACAGAAAATGTAACAAAAAACAGAAAAAAAACCCAATAGCTGAGCCATCGTATATATGTGTTTAGATACTCTCCAAATCCCCTCAGAATGCAATTTCAGTTAACAAGAACATTTCTAATTTAAGTCATTCATTGGTCATCCCACAATCACCCCCTGCACACCTTGGTTCCATTCAAGTGGACATCTCCAGTTTTGCTTAACGTGCCATGCTATAGACTACTGCCAGTACTTTGATAACATTTACATTTAATTCCATCTGTGTTCTACCAGGCACGTGCTCAAATATAAAAACAGACGAATGCCGCATGCAAGGCGGTCAGGAAGTTTCCTCGTGTTCAGAAATGGCTTACACGTGGAAGGCTGAGAATGGAAACAATCCCTATTGTCAAGAGACTACAACACCATCGCCTCCTCCGACCTCACTAACTACACCAATCTGCATTTCTTCTTTGCCTCTCTGTGAGCTGATCTTGAGCGAGTAGGTTCACGTTATATGCAGAGTATTTTTCTTTACTGAAAAGGAACCAAATGTTTTGGCAACCTTATTTGTCATCTTTGAAGCGGGCTTAAATTAAAAGAAATGAGAGGGTGCGGGGGAGGAATTCCAGTGCTGACTGTAATAATAACAAAGAAATATTCTTTATTCAACTTTTAAAAACACAGCATAGCAGTATAGTTTGTCATCTCCATTATGTACCAAGGATCCTACTTTAGGCATCATATAGCTTCACATAAATATGAGACTTATCTAATACAAATTTATACTGTCCAGAAACACAACCTGCCGAGGAACAATTCTCATGAAACTGCCATCAGTGAGTGTTATTACTTTGTCACTAAAATCACTCATTTGGAGCTAAAATCGTTATATAGAAGTTAGTGCATCTCCAAGGCAGTATCTTGTCCTTAAACCAAAGGCTAACAACCTGTCAGTGCCGTAGGCCAGAACAACCACCCAGCTCCAGCACAGGCCCAGATGAAGCCCCTCAATGCCAAAGTGCCATTAGGGCTCTCCAGCTCTGCAGGCCAGATCCAATGGCTCCACTGGCCAGATCTAGCTTGAGAGCCATACACAGGCGACCTCTGCTTTAAACCACTTTACTCTGACTTGTCTATATGTCTTTATAGTGACCATACCTCACCATTCAACCATCTTGTCTATTGTATCTAAAGTATCTTTGCAGAGTGTCATAAGATTCTTCCTCCAAGAAAGTTCTATACAGAATGTCTCAATGAGTCATGTGAGAACAACAGTGACAGCCTCCCATGCATCATCTTGGACAAATATTCTTCCCTCTGCATTGCTAATGGTATCTGTACTGACTGGAGAAGCAAGACTCAAGGAAAATGCTGTAAGTAGTACTGCAGAAAACTTAATATGGATATAAGAAGTATTTAATACTGGCTTTTCTGGGGGGGAAAAATATAAACTATAGTCACAGAGAAACAGGCCCCTCTGTCTAAAGAGAGCTTTGCTTATTAAGGCATGAATAAATTAGTTCAGATAAAACAGAAACACATCTGTCTTTTCCCTTAAACTTAACCAAACCTAACCCAAAACCTTTGTAAAGTTTAAAACTATTAACTGTTATGATATTTTAGATGGCTATACTTCCGTATTTACTCTGCTCAAAAGGATTTATGAAGCCAAAGATCATTGTTGCTTATTTCCCTGTGGTACACACAGCATTAAAAACAATTGGCAAGGATCATCTTTGCTTTCTAACCCTGATGTTTCATTTTCATATTAACTATATTCCTGCTCCTACACAGCATACAGCTGTCCTCCAGACAAGGTATATAAGGCATGTGGTCCTCAAAAGCCCGTCACCTGTAACGAAAGGTAAGGTTAAACCAAATAATTAGCTGTTCGTTCATGTATATCACTGTGCATAACTGGGTCTGTCTTTAGATAGGAACTTAGGAAGCATTTTAGAACAAAACGTATGTTTGAAGAACCAGTGGTGCTGGTGATTCAGCAAAGTTTATGAGTTACTACAGGTTATTACAGGTGCCATATTTCACTTGTGACATTAAAACTGATGTCCTGACTATTTGTGACTATTAAAAATGTCACCTTTCTTCAGAGAAAGAAGGCCAGAATCAGAGTCCTGGCCAGTTTCCTCTTTGGCTAATTACAGTCTGTTACTTATTCTCCCTCTGCAATTTCTAATTTACCTTGTAAAAAAAAATCTATTGGCGGCACTGCTGTGTGCTTGCAAACAGCTGTAATGCTACATTTCACAGATAGCTGTAATTCAATGCAGGTAGAACAACTGAAGATAATTTGTCCATGTTTATAAAATAATTTTGGATATTTGGGGTATGTATGAATGTAAGGAGTTTAAAGAAAGCTTATAAAAGAGCATCTGGATTGTTTAAGGAAATCTCTTCCTTATGCATCTTTTATAAGAATGTTATAAAAATTCTGATCATATAATGCAGGAAAAATGGACTTGAATATCCATTCCTCTTTTCCTTCTAGAACTGGTAACCAGACAATTGAAGGTTTTGTTGAAGGATGCTTCTGCCCAGATGGTACCATCCTCTTTAATTCATTTGCTGATGTCTGTGTGCCAGAATGCGGTAAGTTTGCATGGTTTCTGGAGGGGAATGTGAATTGGGTGATTCAAAACACTGGTGATTTGAAAAAAAGAGGCTGATGGGAGAAATTAT